CCATATATACCATGCAACTGGATTCATTTAACTACTGAAACTGCCTTTGTTATTTGTTTCATTAACTTAGTTTAATTCTAAACCAGAAAAAAAAGTTCAAACAGCATAAGAGTATTTCAGTGCTGTCGTAAGACCTACATTACTTCAATACATCCAGAAAAGCAGAGGTGTAAAATATTCATTATATTAGTCTGGAATGCTATAATAAATAGCCATAAACAATAGGATAGTACTCAAGTCAAAACCCACAACCAGCAGAGCTGGCACAGGTGATTCATCTGTTCTGAAAAATTTATGTACAATACCATGGATACAAGACATAAGGATTATCAATCCATTCTCCTAGCTCCTAGATATAGTTTTAATGTTAGGGTCCATGGGAAAAACATATCCTTTTAAAACTCATTCAACTTGAATTTATTCCAGCAGGACATGAAATACAGGTTGAATACTATTTTAAAAGTATTCACTTTTTAATCAGTCTTCAAAACACCGATGTTGAAAACAAATCAAAAGTACATGCAGATTTCAGAATAACCCAAACTTTTTTCATCCTGGTGAACCAGTGTTCAGCCTGCTGAAGAGAAGGTCCAAGAGAACCTTAACAAATGCCTTCACAAGGGAAGATTACCAAGCAGATGAAGACAGGATCTTTACTGAGGTGTATGGGAAGGAATAAGATAAAAGTGGCATAATTTAAACAAGGAAGCTTCAATCTTGTTAGAAGAAAAAAGATTTTCACTGTAAGGATTATCAACCACTGGGATTGGTTGATAATCCTTACAGTGGATTGGTTGAGAGGTCGCAGAATCTGCACCCTCAGAGGTTTCTAGCATTTGGCTGGACAAAGCCATCTGAAGGTATTATTTTAACTGGCCTCTAAATGAGACAGTTCAATTGTATAAATACATTTGCAAAAATAATCTAAATTTATTTATTTTTTAGTCCAAATCAAAGAAAGAAAAAATGTTATAATTGCTGATCTGTACAACAAACCCCTGCTAACAAGGCCAGAAAGGCTAGCATTTCTCACAGGAGCACTATCAGCACTGAATTACAAAGGCTCGCTGTTTATTACGCAAGATTTAGTTTTGTAGAAACAAAACTGGACATGCAGCAAAAAGAAAAATTTAAAAAAAACCCCTAGAGCTGATCTTTCCAGTGCTGGTCCACAAGCAAGCCTTGGTTCCATGAAGCTGCATACAATGCAGTATAACCCCTACTCCACGCAAAAACCTTATCCTAAACACTTACTGAGACTCCCTCTAATAAGAATAAGCCTGCACACCAGGGACACATATGAAGCTTCAAAAGGAACAGTAAAAAAAGGGCACATGCATGAAAACTTGTGACACGAAAGGCAAGAAAGCAGGAAATTAGGTTTTACTTATTTTTATTGGTTTTGCAGCCAGAGCAAAGAACAATGCAGAAGGCAGGCTGCTTATAAGCCTATCCCAAGCTGAACACAAGCACAGAACACGGGGAAGAGCTGCATTTGATTAATAATAAATATGTCCCTGTTATGTATGCAAGACGTTACCAGGCAATTTCTAAGTGCAGAAGACAACATCAAACCAAAACATGCACTGTCCAGACACAGGTGGGACTGTGCCCAGCTCAGAGGTGAGGCACAGCCACGCAGGGGGCCGGGCAAGCACGGTGGGAGACTGAATGTCACGTCAGCCACTGCGGCTTTTTTAACATCG